AATAAATAAAGAAATATATATATATATATCCCCTTATATACATATATATATATATATGCTCCCACTTGGCAACACCAGTATATATATATATATACACACACACACATATATATATATATATATGGTATGTATATATGTATACATAAAAAAGATGTCGGTCGCCTGCGATAGGCGGTCGCATCGAGAAGAAGATGCGGAAAGTCCAGTCAGCGGTGGAGGCGCGCCTCGGGAGGGCGCGTTAAGGAGCTTTCCCGCTTTCCGGCTTCTGGCTTTGCCGTGAGGCAGAGCGTTTGGATCCGAGGAAGCGGATGCTGGGAGACACCCAGCCAGGGACCCGGGACCCGGGACCCGCGGAGGGAGCTGGCAGCGCAGTGCGCAGTGCGGAGCTCGGCGACTCGGCGAGGCTGGCGTGGATCGCGGCGCAGGCCAAGGCCGAGGGCCGGCCGGGGAAGTGGCTCCTCATCGGCCAGCCGCAGGTGGTGCAGGCGCTGTGCCCCGCTGCGGCCCCAAAAAAAGCCGTAAGCCGCTTGTTGCTGAGACCTGGGCTGCAGGAGCTGATGAGCCCCAACTTTCAGGACCTTCCGAGCGGAGGCCTGGAAAAGGGGAAGGGAGCGAAGGCAGCGACGGCAGCGATATCGAAGGCACTGACTGGGCAGAAATCGTCCGGAACCTCACAAAGCGCGGTGCTCTGTATCGGAATTACACCGAATCAGGAGAAGGAGAGGCTGGCACCGGGCTTCACCGACCTTCCCGGCTATCGGGCAGAGAGGGGCAAAGGGGGGTCTGAATGCCAGGCTGACTTCGTGTCTTCGGAGCTGCGCAATGCCTTCTTGGTGGACTGCGTGAGTGCAACTGGCACTGACTGGCACTGGCGCCTCGCGCTGGATTGTGGGCAGGACCTGGCAGCTGGCCGATTTCGAATCCAGCGCGGGGCTTTGGCGGAGGCGGCGGTCTGAGATGAGACTCCGCAGCCTCGGCTTAAGGCTGAACTTCGACAGCTGGACGGGCTACGTGGCTGAGCGACAGGGACTTTTGCAGTCCCTGCGTGGCCCGTCGCCGGCCATCATCTACGGTGGGGACTCGCATAATGCATGGACAGGCGCCGGCCTGAGCCTCTGCTTTGCACATGACATCGGTATGCTTTTCAAGCCCCGCTGACAGGGAAACTTTGTGTTCTTAGCGGCTAAGTGATGTGCAGCACTTGCCCGATTCCCTACCACAGAGCACTCCTCGCCACACAAGGTTTCTTGGCGCTGCAGGCAAACAGTAAACCCAGCCAAATCCCGATCATGTCGTCCGGAAAGCCAGGTTTGCCGGTGTTTGCATCGGTACACTCACTGGTATGAAGATTCAATCGTGCATCATCGATCAGTCGTCGCTTCCTGACGCTGCATGCTTCCCCGACTGCATTTCACCGCCAAAAGCGGAGGCCTCCTTCGGGGCGGCGACGGGAAAAGGGTGGCCGTGGAGTTCGACGGCATGTCCGTCACGAGCCCTGGCCTGGAGCGCCGCTCTCGGTAGAGAGAAGCAGAAGATCGAGCAGACACGCTCGCCGCAGCGCCGCAGCGCCGCGGCCGCCGCCGAGGTCCCAGCGTCCCTTTCTGCCCCCTCAGCTCGAAGCAGCTGCCGGGAGCTCGCTCCGACAGCAAAAAGGCCCCCCCGAGCCCAACGGAGAGCGCAGGCTGCAGGCTGCAGGCTGCAGTCGCTGAGGCTTGGAAGGCAGCCAATCCCGACCTTGCCTGGGCGGTCCCTGGGGCTGAATTCTGAGCCAGGCCACAGAACTCTCTTAACTTCCCTGTGCAGGGAACGGCTGGAGCCATCTTCTACCCTCAGCCTAAGCAGATTCAAAAGAAGTGGACCCCCAAGGACACGTCCCGGCGTGGCTTTATGCTCGTGCAGCTCGGTCTGGACAACCACCGCCTCGAGGCAGCGCTCAGATTCAGTATGCAGAGTCCACGGCCCTGCCTGCTCCGCTTCTCTTGCAGTACATGGCCGTGGATGTTTCGACTCCGAGCAGAGGCCCGATCACAGCTGCGCTTACGCTTTGCCTGTCTAAAGGCGAGTCCTTTATGGCCTTCCTTGTAGGCACCAGGGAGGGCGCCAGCTGCCTCGCTGGCTTTGACGTCGGGCGCGACCTGCAGCTCTCGCCAACATCCTGCAGGAAGTGTGAGAGGCACCCGAGGCTGGGCTTGCCGGGTGGTCTGCAGGACGGCGTCATGGTCTGCGGCCTTGCATGCGTCGCTCGCGGCGGGCGCTTCTGGGAGCGTCGAGCCGTCCATGCCGTTCTCGCGCTTGCTGTCTTGGCCTTGGCCTTGGTCAGCAGCTCTCTCTCGCTCGCTCTCTCTCTCTCTCTGACTCTGACTCTGACTCTCTCGGCTTTCTCTTTTCGGTTCTGTCCTGCGACAGGGTGCCTCTCGCGTTGCTCGCGTTGCTGACGGCGCTTTTGGGCTTCCTCCTGGGCCGGCGCTCCAGCTCGAGCTGCTCGAGCCGCTCGAGCTCTCGTCTCTTTGGGAGTGGCCTCAGCCCCGGCCTCGGCTTTGACGCGCGCGTGGCGGTCGCGTCGGCGCCGACGCGTCGCTGGTGCAGCTGAGGAGCAGGAGGCTACAAGCGGCCCTCGGAGGAGGCGGAGGCAGATGGCCTTCAAGCGCCGCCAATGGGGTGCTCACGCAGAGACGGCATATGACGGCAAAACAAGGGGCCGGGAAGGGCCGCATTCTTTTGTCTTGCCGCGTGGGCTGGGAAGTTGCTGGTGCAAGCTCAAGGAGGAACTAGGCAGCTTCAGATCCTTCAGATCCTTAGAGCATTCAGCAAGAACATTCAAGCCTGATCGTGAGCCGATGGAATCGCTGCAGCAGTCGATTCTGAGCCAACACAGAGCCACGGCGCCAAGTCTTTTTCCTGAGATGGCCTGGGCCGCGGCACGCGTGAAGCCACGGGCTTTGGGGCCGACGACCTCGGCGAAGCTCTGCTCAGGAAAGCTAGTTGCCGCCGGGAGAGAGCCCAGGTCTGTGGTTCTCTTCAGCGTTTTCTCCATCTCGGTGCCTCACTGCCCCAGAGCCTTTACGGAGCCGTGCCTCGGCTCGCGGTGCTCCTCGCGGTGCGTGTGTTTCGTTCCTGCGCGCCTCGTCGAGGCTGTCGCTTCCTCTCCGCCCTCTCAGGGAGACTCGGCGCCTTTCTTCGCGCTGGGCTTCGGCTCCGAACAGCGCCCAACAGGTGTGGGTCCAGTCCAAGACTTCTGTAAGGCTTTGTGCGGCGTCTTGCAGGAGCGGCAAGAGTCCGCCCGTCGTCTGCTAGAAGACATCGTTGGCGTGGCACGCGTCCTAGAAAGCCGGAAGATGCAGGACAAGCTCAGGCCCAGGCTACGTTCCTTGGTTCTAAGGTGAGCTCGGCAGGTATCGAGGCTCACGGGCCTCACGGGCCGGGGAGTTGGAAGTGTGTAAGTCAAGTAAGGAGTTGCCTTGCTCAGGCGGGTGCCGTGCGTGGCCTCCAAGCCTTGCGGGCTACGCTGCTCACTGCCGTGGAGGCCGCCCAGAGCGACGAGCTGCGGGAGGCCGCCAGAGCCGTGGGAGCTCTGATCGCATCTTTTCCCTCGCAGATCTGATCAGGCGCTGCAGGCGTTGCAAGGCCTCTCCCGTGGAGAGCCTGTGGAAGACGCTCCCTTGGCACGGCTCCTGCGGCGGCTCTTCCAGAGGAGTGCAGGGCCGGACGCGTGGGTTTCGGCCCAGTGCACGCACTCAGAGGCTGGGGAGCACTTACGTGAAGCTCGGGCAGTTCATCGCGCCGGCGGCCTTTTCCTCTCTAAAAAGCGCTTGTGAAGGGAGGAGAGCCTCTGCGACACCTTTTTCTCGTGTTCAGGTCCTCTCCCACGCTGTTTCCGGCGGCCTATGTGCGGGAGTTCCAGTGTCTCGGCTCGGTCGGGGGTGGCTCAGCGAAGCTATGCTCGAAGAAAGGACAGGCACTCCTAAGAGTTGTCGCGCAGCAAACCCTGCGCTGAATAACATGAACAAGATCCGAAATCCTGGTGAGGGCGACGGTTTTCGAGGATTGCAGTGATTGGTCTCGCTTATTCACCTCCTGTTAGCAAGGACGTGCGAGGGCCTGGAGAGTCGTGTGCGCAGCTACTCTTGTGAAGCCTGATCCCTGCGCATGCGGTCAAAGGAATTGTGCCGCCGCCGCAACAAAGCCCAACAAGAAGCAACAGGAACAGTTCACCAAACGAAGCAGAGACTGAAGACGCCAAAAAAGCCAACGAGAACCAGAACCATCAAGCAAATCGGCCGAAGCCACCAGAACGCAAACATGCCTCAAGCAGTTGGTTCTATTCCTGTTTCCACTGAGAATAAGGGAGGACCGGTCCGGCCTGAGACGGAACCCTCTCCGGAGCAGGTGTCTGCTCTCAAGGTGCGGCTGGTGGACCTTGATATGTCCCCGTACGCGGACTTCGCGCTGTTTGTCGGGTTCCAGCACCGCTTCGCGAAGAGCCTAAAGTTCAAGAACCACCTGCTACAGCCGGATGGGTCGTTTAGGACGGTGGAGGTCCCGGGACCCCCGAACTACGACGCCTGGCTGGCATCCTGGAGCGTCTTGGAGAACGCCCTGCTCATGTTCGAGGTCAAGGATGCGGCAGGGGACAGGATTCCCATGGTCACGCAAAGCGGGTTCAGAGACCTCGTGGTTCGGTACCCCCAAGTGTAGGTGCGGCACCTGCTGGTGGTGGCCGAGGACAGGTGCAGGTCGGAGCACTTCCCCCGCCGGCTTCGGAGGAAGCTGACGGAGGACCACGACCACGGTCTCGAACCGCGGTTCCAGCCAGGGCGGCCGTGGGAGAGAGTCTTTAGGGTGGCCGCACATGACACGTACGGGACCCGGCCATTCGCTTCATGGCCTCGTGTAAGGTCAGGGCCCCGCCGGAGGAACTGGCTCGGGCACAGACCCCACGGGAGCCCAGGACGGGAATCGGCAGAGGCCACCCCGCAAGCCTAAGAGGTTAAGGGAGAAGCCGGACAATCAGGGGGAGACCTGGCGTCCACCTCCCCCTCCCCCTTTCGCGGAAGCGAGGGAAGGGGAAGGGAGGGAAAGGTCTCAAGAGGGACGTCAAAGGTCGCTTCCTCACCGACCAGATGGGCCGTAACATCTGTTTCGGTTACGGCGAGGGGACGTGCACAGCCGAGACCTGCCCGAAGGGTTACGTGCACATCTGCCAGAAGTGTTTGGGCAAGCACTCGGAAGGCAGAGAACTGACGGGGCCGCGAGGCCCCGAAGGAGCCCGGAGTGGGGGAGCCTGCGCCCCCCGCGGACGATGCCGGAGAAGCAGGCGAGAAAAACCCAGCCGGGAGCTCTTCCCCGAGAAGGGGGGAGTCACAGAGGCGGTGCGGAAGGTGCTGTCGGGGACAGGGCACCAGGTGTGGGACCCCCTTGACAAGCACAGCACCGACAGGTCCTGGGACCTCACAAAGGACGACGTGTTCGTGGAGACCCTGGAGAAAATCCGCACGATGTGGATCCACATGGCGCCTCCCTAACCTTCGGCCGCGGAAACGGGGGCCCTGGAAGACTTAGGTCAGACACGAAGCCGGAAGGCTGGGGACCTGAGGCGGAGGAGGGCCGTCTCCTCGTCCTAAGGGCCCAGGCCTTCGCGGAAGAGCAGGAAAAGGGAGCGAGACTCTTCACGATAGAGCACCCCCTCCGCTCCTATATGTGGGACCTCAAGCCCTTCAAGAAGAGGAGAAAGAAAGGGCGTGGAACACTGGTCTCCTTGGACCAGTGTGCCTACGGGGCGCCTCACCAGAAGCCGACAGGGTTGCTCACGAACGGTGAGTGCTCCCACGCGGAAGCACGCCGGCCAAGAGGTGCAGGGAGGCGCCCAAGCACTCCCACACGCCCCCTAGGGGTAAGGTCTGGGACGAGGCGAGTGGAGGGGAGGTGTGGCGCACCTCCCTCGCCGCAGCATAATCCGAGGGCATGTGTCGTGCGATGGCGGAGGCCTTCGCGCCACTTGCCCGCTAACCGACCGGCCCCAGAGAAACCAGCGGAGACAGAGCAGAAGGGATGCCCGACGGGCTTCATTAAGAAACCCGCATAAAACAAGCTGGTGAGGGAAGGGCTGGCCTGACCGAGCGAGGGGGAGGGAAAGCGCGTAGGCCTGCGCCCGCCCCTCGTGGGCCGGACCTGACCTCGAAGGAGCTCCGGGAACAGGAGAACGAGCAGTGCGTGGGGGGCATGCGTGCCCCCGCCGAGTCGGTGCGCTGGGCCAAGGTAGGCGACCTGCTGAGGCCCTCCTTGTGTGAAGCGGTGGAGGAATCAAGGGACCTTCAGCGGGCCTTTGAGGAGCACACCGCGGAGATGGATGGCAATGGAATGAAAGCTTTGGCGGAGGTCGGCGCAAAGGTGGCCAAGAAGATGGCCGCTGCACCTGGGTGCCCCGGATCAGGCGGATGTCGTGGGCCCCACTGGGTGGCCCTGGATGCAGTCCAGGACATCCTCGCCTTGTGGGCCAGAGGAGAACGAGCGCGCTGTTGCCGAGACCTACGTAGACGACCCGCTTCTGGCTGTGCGCGGCAGTAAGCAGGAGAGGACGCGGCGGCTCCTCATCACCCTGGTGTTGTGGTCGGCATTGGGAGCCCGCCTCGCGCTGCATAAGCTTCACCGCGGCACCACCGTGCCCTGGATAGGGGTCCAGGTCACCAAGCAAGGAGTTCGCGTCCAGCTGGACAAGGCCCGGACTGAGTCTCTTTTTGCCAAGGTCGAGGAGGCCCTGGGGGGAAGAGGACTAGTCAAAGGGCTTCGCGCACTGGCGGGCGAGCTGTCCTGGGTAGCAGGCTTGGTGAGACCGTGGGTCACAATGCTGTGGGCGGCGGTCACGGCCATGTTGGGCCCTGCACCGCCTGGCACGCGGCAGTGGTCCCTGCAAACCGTGTTCATATCCATGGTGGAGCGCCCCCTCTTGTGGATCCGGAGCTTCCTGAGAGGGGAGCGGGGAGGTATCTCCCGGCACCACGTTCTCAGGCCCACCAAACAGGTCCAGTTCCTCGTGAGGACGGACGCATCTACCACAGGATTCGGAGGCATCTTGCTGAGGCAGAAGGAGTACCCCTCAGGTACTGGCACGCGGAGCTGCCGCCTGACGTTGGCAGCCCTGGGGCTTCCCGCAGGGGAGCCCGGGCACAGGACGTCCTATGAGTTGTTGGCCCTGATCTTCAGCCTGGTCATCTGGCGTCGGTGGCTCGGCTCCAAGGCCGTGGCCACGACCGCGCAGTTGGACAACTCTTCAGCTCTGAAGATCACGTCCAAGCTCACCTCTAGGGAGGCCATATGCAACCGCATCGCGGCAGAGATCGCACTGCAGGTGGCTCGGGCTCAGATCCACACCTTTGAGCACTACCGCAACACCCTCAATGTGGAGGCGGACGCGTTGTCAAGGATAGGCGAAGGAAAGGAGGTACCTGAGAGTCCCCAGGGATTCGTTCCCGGCGGAACCCCTTGCAGTCGATCGCAATGAAGGATTGGCCAAGGACGGAAGGCCTTAAGAAAGAGAAGAAGGAAAGAAGGAAGCGCCGGAAGGCGGCTAAAGGCCAGGAGCCCGAGCCCAAGCTGGACAGTTGGAGCACCTTGGCAGCAGCTAGCTCCGAATCGCTGCCGCGAGCCGACCTCCTTCCGCAGCTTGGCTCGAAGCCCTCAGAGCAGCCTCTGCCCCCCCCCGGGGAGCGGGAGCAGAGGCAGAAGAAGCCCAAGAGGAGAAGGACAGACATCCGGAAAGGCCCCGACCCGCTCTGCAGAGCCTTCAGGCCACGCCGCTGCGGGGCAGGACTCCTTCCTGCCACTTCCCCAGCCCACACCTGGTCCACCCGGTGTGGCTGGAAATGGGCCGAGAGCGGACTGGCCGGGAGGTTTCGGACAGGCCAGTGCTGTGGCACTGAAAGACTCACGGGCGCGCGCGGATGCACGAAATTCGCGAAGAGAAAAAGAAGAGGAGTTCCGAGGGACCAGGGCTGAGGGAGGGTGCAGCCCGTCCCCCGGGTCCGCGGTGACATGTAGGGAGGTTATGGGTTTCAGGGTTTCCCTGGTTACCCAACCTGGGGTTGCCTCTTAACGGCGGTCCGGGTGTGCACCGCAGAGTTTGGTGCACATCAAGAGGGACTGCTAGGACCCTTTAACGGGGAAGGTTCCCCAGGGCTTCCCTACCCCGTGCCTCGCTAAGGTACGAAGAAAAGAAAGAAGTGAGAAGGAGGTGAGGAGAAGGCGTCCCCCGAGGAGGCTCGCAGGGGACGTCGGCTCCTTGATTAAGTAGGAAGGGGCGAGGTGGGGCCCGGTAAGTCCTGGCCCGCCTCCAGAGGAGGCTGGGCCGGGCGACCAGGCTGAGCAGAAAGATGTTCGCGACCAGCCGCCTTCGGAAAGAAAAGATAGTGCGCGTTCCGGGCGGATGGGTGGGGGCACGCGAACATGAAGGGTTGTTATGCATTGCACGAAGTGCTAACAATAACAACCCCATGTTTGCAGGAGGCAGGGTCACTTGTGATGCCCGTCGAGCTGTGCGAGAGTGGCACCAGGGACCGAGCAGGCTTGGAGCCCCTCGGGCACCCACACAACCCTTGGCACCCACTCTCTTAGGGTTTCTCAGGGGCCATTCTTTGGAGGTGCAGGCTAGCTCGGAGTATCGAGGTCCCAACGCTTCTCAAAATCTCAAGATCCATGCAAGCCCTCCCATCTGGAGTTTCGAAAGGGAGGAGAACGGAGAAGAAACAACAGCGTGCCAACACTAAGAGTTCAACACTTTGGGAGGTAGGCTGGGCCACTAGGGCTCGTTGGGGGCGGCTGTGAACGGCTCCGCGCTGTGAGCTGAGGCAATGCCTGGACCGCACGGAGCCCACGAGCTTCGAAGAAATCAGGTGCAGCAGGGCGGAAAGAGCAGGGCAGAGCGGCAGAGCAGAGGAGAAACTTCCTTTGGCCTGAGGCGAACCCTAGAGGCGGACCTGCAGCCAGCAGCTCGGTCGGTGAGCGGGGTCTCTGCGTCTGAACTGAACGCTCGAGGCGGCCGCTGAGTGCCGTGTTCCGCTCCTTCGAGGAGGAGCCGCCTCCGTCCGGCGACCGACGAGTCGATTCATTAACCTAAGGCCTACTGTTCGGCTACTGTCTGATCTGACATTTTTCAATGTCAAGCTTTACAGTTCTTTCTGGCAAATGGGTTTATATGCATCTCCTATTGGGGCATATGGCAGATGAGTGTTGCCAACCAGCCATTCTTTGTCGGGTTGCCGGGTTGCCACTCATCCTCCTGCGGTACGCTCACGGATGTGGCTCTCTGCTTCTTGGCCACGCCTTTTTTGTTTCACCCCTGCATCTGTTCGGGTTAGAGCACCAGTGTCAGGGCCAGCAGTTTCCTGTCTCATGGTTCTGATCTTTTTAGGCTCTCTTTTGGAAAAGTTTAACAAAAAAGATTAAATACGCGGAAACACATTGAAAATGTTTCAGTTTTTGCAGATATATGTCTTTAATTTTTGGAAAAAGGATGAACAAATGAAGTCCAACGGCCGTGGCTGCATGAAGCGGCATTGCGATCTTTCGAGCGAGAGGTTCAAGGCACTTTCCGCAGCAAGGAGGCCGAATTTGGAGGGAGTCGGGGGCGTTGTCGGCTTTCACCAACTCAGTTTTTGCAAGTGCTTGAGAGCTTTGGAGTGTCGTTTGTTCATACAGTTTTTGAAAGTGGAGATATATGTTCAGGAAGATGAAAGAGAGGCAAAAGCGAGCCGTTCTGTTCACTCTGTGGAGGAGCCGCTGGCCTCCGTCGCGGCCTCGCGGCGTCGTCAAGCGTCGCCAAGCGTCGCTGAGTCACGTCGTGACGCATTGGAGTGGAGAGCGCAGCGTTGGGCCTCTGAGGCTTCTGTGGCCCAGGTGCATACGGCGGCCAGGGGGCTTAGGACGCCTGGCAAGGAAAGAGCGAAAGCGCCGGAGAGAGGAGTGGATCAGGTGCTCGTGACGGGGGAGCGCGTGGCTGTGAAGGTGCAGAAGCCGGGCGTTCAGCAAGTCTTGCAGGCGGGAGGGCCATGGGCCGTGGCATGTAGGCCGCCAAAGTCCGTGTTACAGCTAAGAGCACGGCGCAATTATGTCGGTCGCGAGGCCGACCTGGGCTTTTTGTTCCTCGCGGCCCGCACGTTGGAGCTGCTGGGCCACGTAAAGCGAAGCGATCGCGAAGTCGCGAAGCGACGCGCGGCCGCGCGGCCGATGCTCTGCAGGGGGTGAAGGGGGGACGGCCCCTCTCAGGTTTCTGAGCCCCGAGCTCGCCAGAACCTCCGTGGCCGGGCCCCCGGCGAGTGCACTCTATGGGGTGAATGCCTGAATGGGCCTTTGTTAACGCCGTGGGTTGGGAGGAAAAGGACAAAGGGGAACGATGTGTGGGCACATTTCATGCACCACGTTGTCAGGTCGACATCCTTTCAGAAATCCGCAGCTCCATGCTTCTCGACACGATTCCCGGGAGACACCGCCCTTTTTCGGGTTAAGCTATTGTTGCTTCTGCACCTTTCTCAGCAGCCGGGGCTTGTAGGGGCGCTTGTGGACACTTGGAAGGTGAAGGCGGTGACCGGTCTACAGTAGGCCTGTAGGCATTGTATCTGCAAAGACTAACCGACGCTATTTGAGGGGCGCAGGACAGGAGTTCGCGAGTAGCCGACTCCCTCCAAGACCAAAGCATCGCCGCACCGCTACGCGGAATCCGCGCCTGGCGTCGAGCCTTGTAGATCTCGGGCTGAGGGCATGTCACGTCACGTCGGCAGCCAGGTTGGATGAGTTGGACTTCACGAAGGAGACAGCGCAGGAAGCAGACAGAGGTTGCTTCAGGGCATCACTGCGAGGAGATGGATAACCTCGAGACGTTCCGGAGTTTCTTGCAGCAGAACGGCCTCGAGCGCATCGCCGCAGCACCGAGGACGCGTCGCTTGCGCGTTGCGTCAGACTTATCTGCTGCCCAGAAGCATTGCCCAAGGACCTTTCCGGAGGCGTCGGGGAAGAAGGTACGGTGGACGTCTCCGCAATTGGCAGTTGACAGAGACGGCTAGCCGAATTTGCGCTCCTCGAGAGGTTTTGACCATGGAGTTGTTCTCCGGTGTTCCCCTCACGGATCTCGAAGGCCTTGACTTTGAAGCAAGTGGGGAAGGTTGTGTGAGGACATCTGCGCGGAGCCAGGCATTCGGCAGTACAGCAACAACCCAGAACAGACATTGATCAACGCCCTAAATGTGCAGCGCTCAGAGGTTCTGCCGTTCTGCCTGCAGATTTCCATCCCTTTTCAGCTTTGAGCAGCTGCAGGTCTGGTCACTGTCTGTGAGGGCCTGCGAGATTTTCCATGCCGATGCCCAGGACTCAGTGAAAAGGCGGTCAGCAGGCGCCCGTGGAGACTGTCTAAGAGGTTCTCTTCACTGGCAGCCTGTCAGGTCCATGCAGGAAACCTTCTCGTGCTAGAGGCCCCGTCAATGACATGCGGGCGCCGTGTTTCCTGTACCATGCCACGGCCATATGGCCATGGCCTCCAGGATGGCCGCGTGGGATTCATCGACTTCGGCATCGTTGGCCGAATCCCGCAGCGGAGCCAAAAGAGCCCAATAGCCCAAAAGAGCCCAAAAGAGCTCTATGGTTTCCCAGGCCCAAAATCTGGTCTGCAGTGGAGGGCTTTGCCCTGTCCTTTGCTGCGAACGATGCGCCCGGGATGGCCAAGAACCTCATTGTGCGAAACTCGGAGCAAAAGGGGCACGAGAGGAGACATACGTAAGGGGTTGGCAAGTGCGAAAGGGCCACGTTGGGTTTGCGGGTGGACTTGTGGGTCTCTTTCATTGAGTCAGTAGGTGTGTGTGTGTGGGGAGCCCAAGCTTACTTGCAGTTATATTATATGTCAATGTGATGCAACAACAGCAGGGGGTGCCAGGGGATTGCAGAAGGCTGGCACCAACGAAGACCTTTCTGCTTTCCTGTGAAAGAGACTTGGGACGCCAAGTCGACGTACCTGCAGTTTGTGACATAGTCAATCATGCAAGCTGTATGAAAATAGTCGCTGTGCATGCTTCACTGACGAGTTGCGAGTGCAAATTACAGGTGATGGATGCTTGGCTTCTTTCCTGGTAAACAGCAGCAAGGGAACCAGAGCCTATTGAGAGACCTCCTGCAAAGCTTTTCATCTGTTGATGCCTCAGCTGAGTTCTTGAGCTCATTGCTGGGTTGAATTCACTCTTGAGAACTACCTGCCAGGGTTTGCCTGGAGGTCGAGTGTGAATGGGCATGGCCTTCCGTCACGGCACCATTACCGCTGCTCTCGAGGCAGTATTTCTTCAAGCAGAGCCCCGAGTGGGACGAAACGATCTTTGGCTAGGTCTCAACAGGCATCAAACCCAACAGATCGGAAAGTCTCGGTTGAGCGGGAAAGTCTTTTGAGCTCCAGCAGCTTGAAATGTGCGGAGACGCTGATCTTGAAGTGTGCGGAGAGGCTGATCTTGAGATCTTGAAACGTTGGTGAAGTCACATGCCCATTTTCACACATTTTTTATTTTCTCTTGGACTGGTCCTAAGCTAAAAGTGAAAGGGCAGGGCGCAACTTAACAACATACGTGCGCCATGGAGATCAATATCCAATATCCAAATCAAGAACGTGCAGAAACCAGAGGATATGCCCAATGCTTTCGCCGCACTAGGGCAAAGACCAAATTCAGGACAGACTCCTTCCCGAAAAGCTGCAAAATCAACAACGGCAGCAACGAGACGGTCGCCCAGCCTCATCCTTTCTCAAAGAGATCGAGGCACTACAAAGAGTGCATCCTCATGGAGGGCAAAGCAAAGCCACGGAAGACATCCACCGCCATGCCCTGCAGGAGACTTCGGGATCAGCAAGTGGAGTGAGGCCAAAGATGAGACCGCAACCATTTTCGGCAGTCCAGCGGCCTCGACGACAGCACCAAGACAGACCTCTGTCACAACGCCCCTGCTTCCAGCCTGGTGACCAAGTTGTTGCAGCAGATCAAGCAACAAAGCCGAGACCTACGGCGTCCAAGGCCCTTCCCAAAGCATTACCCGACCAGGACTACTTGTCAAGAAGTGGCACCCAGGACGAAATTTGAAAGCACGCCTCCAGCACCACGGAGGGCGACGTCAAGATCTCCACTTAAGACTACAACGAGATCCTCACGGAAGGCTACATCAAGATCCTCTCTGCGTAGAACAGGGGTGTAATCTACAGCCCCAAGGCTTACATCCAAACTTCGAACAACCTCCAGATCCCGTACACCTCGGACAACATCCAGATCTCGTACACCTCGCAGGCAACGTCTTTAAAGGCTTCCCAAGAGCCTGCAGCAAGCCACCGAAAAACTACGAGATGCCAAAGCTGCCCGCGGAGGTCACATTCTCCAGGAACCTACAGCGCTATGCCGTAGACTGGCAGCCCTTCGAGGGCACAGCGTTCCCGGTGTAGAATGTCATGAAGCAGTATGTGGAGTGGAGGCGTTGTGTGCCTCCGCCCGGTTTCGCAACACGGGGGGAGTACTGCTAGAGCACGACCTGATATGGGGACAGAGGAAGAGACCCTGCCCCAGAATCTATGTGCAGGTGCTACTACCTCGCCGCGCAGGACTTGACATGCAATGTCATCTGCTTCCCTAGACAAAAAGGATCCTCTTCTTTAGCCACGCCACGGAGACATGCTGCCGATGAACACCCATAAAGTCGCAAAGCTCAATTGCAACATTTTTACGCCTTAGGGCATGAAATTGAATACAAAGGATAGGTTCGCTGTCCATATGGAATATCGTCCTCAGGATGGATCAGCTAAAACGACCTCACCAGGTCTTGAGATTCCGCGAAAAGCAGAAGTCAGCCGGATGCATTGTGTCTATGTCTCCGCCATCAGAGGACACAGCACAAGAAGAGCCCCCACTGGGACCGCAGAAGAACCCGAGCCAGAAGGTGAGCAACCTACGCCCAGACTGAACATCGGCCAGTACATGGCAACAGGCGAAACGCCAGTACAGTCAAGAGCTGAAAGAATGTCTACAGGTGCCACCAGGCCAGCAGGAACATCAGACTACGTCTCTCAAGACGAGCCAGTCTATATCATGCATGCAACTGACCCACAGGCAGTAATTCCGATTATTCGCCATGGCCTGGTACCCTCAAGCATCTTACAGGATGTCGTTACGAGTTCCTCATTCGCCTTGATTGCGGAACAAAATAAGCAGTTTGGCCGAAGTACCGTGCAGTTCTCAACCTTAGATCTGGAACTGCCAGATGCAACTGGATTACGGGCTAACAAGCCTATTCTCTTCATCTACGATGCAAATAACGTAGCCAGAAGCGTAAACAACCTCTGGATCGCCAACCGTGGCGGGATGTTTTCGACTCCTGAGGTTGTCTCCTCGTGCTTCGTCAGCGCAATTCTGGCACCAGATGAGGCTATCTATGTGAGCCGACAATACCGAGAACTGGCAGGTATGTTGTCGTGGTGGACAGGTGGACAGAACACTGCGAAAAACAGAACCCGGCAATGACACACCAAGCAGAGAATTTGCTCAGAGAAAGCGGAGGAAAGCCAAAAATACTTCTAGATAATATCCTGAAGAAACGTCAGCCTCCAGAGCCTCCCAAGGCCATGAGAGTGACGACATATAAGGCTCCTCCAGCTATTCCTAAGAACCGAACTCCGAACACGGAGGTAAAAACTGAGATTCCAAGTAAGGCACCGCTTCTGTCGTTTCGCAAACCGCTCACACCGCCTCCGTCGGAACCTCGACCTTCCTCGAAACCGGTGCCGCCACCGCCTGCGCCAAAGGAAGACACCTCTCAAGGTGCAGTTCCACCGATTGATGAACCATCTCCTCCCGACTGCGACGAACCAGATCCTTCAACAGGAGGAGATGATGAAGACATGGAAGAAAGTGAAGAAGCAGAACCCGAAGGATCTGATTCCTCCTCATCGGAACTGCGAGTCGATGTAAAAACCTCAGGCGCAGCTTCGTCGTCCACAGCGATTCTTGATCCTCCTTCTACCAAGAAGAAAGAGAAGAAACGTCGAAAAAAAACAACTTCTGATGATCTCGCGGATGATCTGAGAAAAGTTAACCTGGGAAGTCAAGAATTATCTTCTGATGATGACGAGATCGAAAAGGCGAAGAAGACCCAGGAGAAGGCTTCTAAAATGAAGTCTACAGGTTATCTGATCATGCGAGATTCAAACACCGGAGATTACTATCGTGCGAAAGGACCTGGCTAAGTTTGAGTATGTCGACCTCGCAGACGAGGAAGATTTGGAACAAGAACTTCAAAGGATTCAGTCTCGTCTCAGCGAGAATAGAAGACGTGTCGAAGCCAGGGCCTCCAATGATCCAGCGAAAAAGGAAGAGGTCAAGCAGCTCATGTGTCGCAGCAGATGGAACCGGATACGTGAAAAGCCCTTGTTGCTCAAAAACAGTGATGAAGAAGATGATGAAGTCAAGGATTGGGACCCTTCAACTGGAGGAAAACCAATTCCATCAAGGTCTCCCAACAGGGAGCAGCCGAAAGGCATAAGATCAACAAGGGTAGGACTCAATCAGACAATCCATTTCCTGAAACGTCCAGATAAAGCTTATCGTGAAATCTGTGAACAGGAAACTGGGTATTTCTGTTACCAATGCGGCAAGAGCATCTGCAGCGACTGCAGACTGAGGATCCACCACTTGTCATCCGCGATCTTTCCTTGATCTTACCGGACACGAAGGCAAGAGCATTCTTGACGGACATTATGAGCCGGTCCGTCATCGCCTGGCAGGCGTCAACAAGATTGAGCATTTCATCGAGAGCACGAATCCAGACTCCAACTCACTCGGAGTGATAGTCTGTAGCTGGGGAAATATGAATAGAGCACCGAGACCTTTTGGCAACTCTATAAAGGAGCTTTAGCCGGAAAAGGGAAACGACTACCACCCACTGGTGGATCTGTGCTTCAATAACTCAGCTCATATTACTCTCGTACTCGAGGCAGAGGCTCTCAGCACCGAATATGCTCTTGAAATCATGCGAAGATTCCAGTACCGAGGAATTCTTGTCTCTACACCGAGTCAAGAGCCTCCAGCACCGCCTCTAAGCTTTGGCCTCCATTCCACATTGCCAGACGCCAAAGAGTGGATTCATCCTGTTGCAGGACAAAGGCTGAACAGAGAGAAGTATATCGAACTTGTAGGCCGCGTTCCATTCAATGGCCGAGATCCTATCAAGGATGCGCCAGTTGATAGCTCTTATCTGACACCGGACCCATGGGTGACCACCTCCAACTCTGTTCCTACTCCTGTCCTGTGTCACTGGAATGGACTATTCTCTGACCAGGAATGCTCCGAAGCAGACCTGGAAGCCTATGCAGACCTTTATCAGACGGCGCCCGTGGATCTCAACGAGCTGTGGTCTAACCATTGCACTCGTGCACTTAACTCCTTCCTTACACATAAGGATACTCCAAGATTCCAATATGTCAGAAGCTTCTGACAAGAAGTGCTTCCTTTCTAGCCAGACATTATTGCAGGAGACCTTAACAATATCGCTTCGAGAGCAAGATACAAGGGAGGTGATGTTCACCCAAGGGACAGCCTCTTTAGTTAGTCTCTATCTAGAGGCAATGCTTGCTGATCATAATCGCGAGGCAGGTAAGCGCCCTCAAGTGCGATACTATTGTCTCAACAATTCTGACTTGGAGCGGCTCGCTCAAGCAGACCGTCTCCCAAGCGATGTCAAAAAGAGAGTTGCTGATCTCGGTTGTCTGAATGCTTACATCCTCGACTTGGGAAAAACAAAGGACACGGCAACTCCGATCAACCGTTCTATATCTTCGACCGCGAAGAAAACCTTTTGGACAAGAGTGTCTGATACCTGGTTGCCAACAGACAACAAACAGGATATCGACATCAGATTGGATGTAAGGCGCAAGGAGTACTATGCTACCCTTGGCAATGCCGACCTGTGGCTGGGCCCAATCGACAATGATGGGCACAGTCCACTAGGATTCACTATTACATCCATGGTACATAAAGGACACCATGCGAAATCTGACCAACAGGTCAAGAAAATGGAACATAAGAGAAACGGCTTCAGACAGCGTGCTTAACTGGTACTCACAGTCCTCATGATCATCTTATACACCCAGTAACTACTGGTGAAGTAAAACACGTCCTGTTGTACCGCCATATCCGCCACCAGGCTACAGAAGTGGTCAATCGTCTTCAGATCCGACTTCCCATTCTCGGTCACGCGGGCCCACTTCAAGACCAAACGTGGTCGACAGGCTCAAAATGACCTTAGACGAAGTCGCCCAGACCCAGAACGAGGAAGAGAATCCCTCTCCGACACAGAGTGACATTGAAGACCACAATCGTGAAACATCAAACTTGACGGGCACTCACCCGCATGAAGAAGCCGAGGACGAAGCGGAATCCTCTAGTAGAGGTCGAACTCGGACATCCTGCAGACCACCTTCTGCTCCAAGTGAAAAGGCCGCAAGAACAATTGGTTTATCCAGTGCCTTTTTCGGCCACAGAAACCGAGGATCAGCAAATGCTGAGTCTACCTCTGAAGAAGCCCACGAACGTTCCATATCACTCTCAAGTGATGATGATTTCTCACACATCAGCATCGCATGGAATGTCTTCCTCATGCTTATGGGACTGAAGTGGATCTGGAAACAGATCACAAGACCTGCGGTCCAATGTGTGGAACGACCGACTCCAAAGTCGAAGGCTAAGACAAAAGCAAAGGCAGCTGCTCCATTCCTCGAACCCGAGGCAGAGCCATTTGAGAACCGTGCTCCAAGTGGTCCCAGCCGAACCAGTACTGGCGAAACAACTGCCTTCAGAGAAATTTGGCACACTTCCAGGAGTGAACACTATCATCTCTCTGGAACATGTCCGCAACTGGCGCAGGCCAGACTCGCAAAAAGATTCTCTGCAAAACCTGTTTCCATTCTGTACAGGTGGCAGAAATTCGTAGCAATGACGTCTTTAATCGTGGCGACACGAGCCCGTGGCACAGAAAATGAGATCGAAAGATTTCAAACACCAATACCTCACAAATGAGGAATCTTTTCCAAGACGCTATGCATACTCAGATGGGCGAGGAACGGCCGGTGCCAAGGCAAGAGGTCATGCAGCACTCTCAAGTGCATCCTCATCAAATCCGCCTACGGCTCCTACGTTTCCTAGTGCCCCAAGGGGCAAGGCACCAACTCCTAAACAGCCGCCACAGAAAAGCACAACGTCCTCACCGGGACCTGCACCTAAGGCATCGACTGTCTCGAAGACACGACCGACCCGAAGAGGTGGTCAGAATGAGCGTATTCGACGTGCTCAGGTGAGAAATTCTGGCGCAGCTTGAGTCTCCCCTCGAGATTCTGGACGACATGACAGTCAGAATGCCTGTCCCTCATTATACGGACACACTCCGAGTCTTGGAAGCTGACCAGACCTCTATCCAGAGGGAAAGCCATGAGCGACGAGAACAGGTGCAAGGTCACAACAATACTCTAGCAAGAGTAGAGATTCTTCTGACAAGTGCAAGATCTGCGCGAACAGCGCTTAACCAAGCGATCAACGCTGCTAGTGAATTCGAGAGAAGGTATAACCAGCTCAATAACCTTCTCGAATCAATGTTCACCGATCAAGGGTCAGATGACCAGTCCGCCGTCACCTTCTACTGGTGCATAATGGGACAATGTTCACCGTCATGCAGTATCTCCCTCAGGAAATGAATCTGAACGTGAGTGGAACTCATAAGACGGAGAAAGAGATCGAAGGAGACAGGCAGGACCTAAGGCTAGGGTCAAGGCTAAGGCCAAGTCAGAGTCAAGCAGCTCTCAAGCTGTCCCAACGACTTCAATACAGGAAGACGAAGAATTCCGAAGAGCTGAAGACAGTTTCCTGGGCATAGGAGTCTTCTCCTCTGACGAAGAAAGAAACTGGTCAGATCCAGAAGAGCTTCACCCTGATGTTATTGCTCGATCATACTATCCTGACGAGTGAGCTCTTTAACCTCTCAAAAGAGGAATGCACAATTCGAATTTGAGCGCCTAGAACCTGATCATGTACAGCAGATCTCTTCGACAGAGCAGTTGTAATGAAGGAAAGGAGTGAGCGACACTGTGTTTACCTTTGTCATGTATGTTAGTTAATATCGACTTGTTTCGACTGAGCCCAACTCCGCAGAAACACTTGAAGACAGGGCATAACCATATACGTGTGAATGTGCCGGCCATGCTTTCAGCAAAAGAAAATTAGAGTCTGTTTGAGTCCTAAAGTACCGCCAAGGGTAGGTACTTACAGCAACGGCATGGTGGCATGCTCACGTGTATATATTCCGCTGCCCATTCTGTCTCAAGTGGTTTGATACTAGACTTGACACCAAGCTCTCTCTGCGTAGCAGACAAACACTTGCTGTCCGCGTGCAGGGCACTTGCCTTTAGATCCCTGCCCATATGTGGCTACGACAGCGCCGAAGAAAAGGGCGAGTTTAATGGGACCCTACGACGTTTCACCCCACACCTGGGACTGTTTGGCTCAGAAATTTGGCAAGCCACATCATTGTCAAGGAATGAGGCGCGTTAGGTCGGTTGACAAGTTCCAGGCCCATGAGCATGGCTTTAACCAGATTTCATGACCATCGGTCGGAGGTTGCGGGTGTATGTGTACGCTGCTGAATATTTACTGAACGCAGTGGATGTTGCGTGAAGGTGCCTTCTTCGTGTCTTTACTTTCCCAGGACATCGCATCTCGCGATCTCTGTTTCGAATCGAGTGTGACTGTAGGCAATGGGAGCCACGGATCGCTTCGTCGACGAGTCGGCCCTGGCATCCGACGTGCAAAACGTCCTCTCAAGGACGGGAATGCTCATTTGCATCGAGATTCGCTGAGCATAGACTGAGTGCATGGCCACTATAGCGAACATCATGCGTGAGTCTGCAGGATCGCTGGCTTGCAGCCTGAGGCACGTGAGTGCCCGAACGACCTGAGCGTTTTTACCGGTTTGGTGTTCTGAATTGACATGTGAAACCGACAAGTGGCCTGGGTGTGTAGGGGACTTTGGGAAGATGAATGACCCATCTTCCACCTATATCAAGATTGGGAAGACCAGTTTTCTGACCGTGTAGGTGGTGCTGCGGGGCAAAGGCGACGGCCGCGTAGTGGCCGAGGCATGACGAACGCAGCGATGCAGGGACGCAAGGTTTGGAGAGCTTGTCTTTCCCTTTGCCGAGGTGGGCTTGGACAACGACCAGGTCACGGAGCTGTTGCTCGAGGCGTTTGAGCATGCCTTCGCAGTAGCTTCAGCGATTTCCCCGGCGTTTGGTTCTCTCAGTTGATCCGGGTGGCGGACAGCAACGGCTTGAAGCTGCCGAGGGAGTTTGCCCTTCTCGTGAAGCAGGCAACAAGAGCTCTGCTTTTGCGGCCGAAGCATCGCTTCGGGGAGAGGCCTTGTACTTCGACCGCTATACAAAGCTTCTGGCGCCGGAAACCGCAGCATGGGGGGAAGGGGGCCAAAGGGTGCGTGGTGTGGAGCATTGCGGCCTTGGAGGACCTCGACCCGTTGCGAGACTCCCGGGTAGCGCTGGGCAAAGGCGAGGCGAGAGACGAGAAGTCGCATCTGTTTGGAATTTCCCCAGAGCGTGACTGCTGTCACTGGGTTCAGAGCACGGAGTCCCGGAGCCCAGTGCAGCCATGGGGGCTTGGCAGAGTGCGAGCGGAGACAGCGGAGACAGCGGAGCTTCGAAGTCGAAGAGCGGCAGCGGCGGAACCCGCGGAAACCGCTCTTCGCGGAGCCTCGAAGTCCGGAACCTGGCGGGGCGCTCGCTCTCTCTCGGCGTCGACGAAGAGGTCACCTGCGCCGAGCTCGCCTCGGCCATCGAAGCCCAGCTCGGTGCCACGGCGTCACAAGCGCGTCACAAAAGCTCTCTCTCTCTCTCTCTCTTCTCTCTCTCTCTCTCTCTCTCTCTCTCTCTCTCTCGGCTCTCTTTCGCTCTGCTCAAGCCCTCTTTGGGGAAGTGCAGTGCCAGGCTTGAGCGCCGAAGTGCAGGAGTGGATCGTCGACGGACCCGTGCAGGCCTTGGCAAGTTCTGTCACGGCCGACTTCGTTGCCTCGCCGAGTCAAAGTTGAAGTTCGGTGTTGGCAGGAAGTGCTGGGCAATCTGTGTCTTGGCAGCACGGGCAAGCCTGCAGTCTCGAGTCTACCAGGTCTGCCATTTGCATGTAGCAAAATCTCGTTCAAAATGTCGCGCGCAGGGGATGCTCCTCGAAGACTTTGGCAGCTGCGGGGTTGGGTTCCGACGTCCGATCTCTGACGGTCCTGCACATTGGCTTTACCCCCATGGCGTTGTTGCCGGAGCGCTTTCTGGTCCAATTCAAGTCCAGCCGGCAAAGGTTCGGGACTGGCTACTCCAGTGCATTCGCTAGCCTCTACTATCTCCGTGGGGATGCTGCTGCACGCCAGATGGTGATGGAGCCGTGGAGGATAAGCGAGACAAGAAATTAGCCGCTTCGACCTTTACTGTAACCGAGAAAATTCAGTACAGCGGCAAAAGACGAATCTTGGAAGCCGCGAGCCCAACTTTAAACAACTTTCTTGTGTTTCCAGGCTGTGTATGGACGTCTTCTCTTTAGTGGCAAGTCCCGGATGTATCTACTGCCATGTCCGGAACAACGCGCCAACATGTTTGCAGGAAGAACGATCACGACAAGTTCATCTATGATATGGGCGAGTGCACCATGAAAGCCATTACAAGCCACTGGATGAGTGGATCGACAGAGAAGACGCAGGCCCGTGACAAACGAAGCCTGCCACCTGTGAATGCATGGGAAGCCGTCGCAGGCTCTCAATGTCGGCTTTGACCCTCTGGCCGAGTTTCTTCAGAGTTGGCAGGATGCACGATGCCGCCGCGTGAGCGAAGAAGACGCCTACTGGAGGAAACATGTCGATGCCCGGGATGCCGACATAGATGCCGAAGATGCTGCGATGGCCTTTACGGCCAGCACACCCTCTTCGTTGCGGCCGAAGCACGGTGCCGTTCCGGGCTGGTTCGTGGAACCTTCGAGCGGCTGCACAGAGATTCTCTGTGAGGCGACAGTTGGTCAGTTGAAGATCCTGCGTCTCCTCATCAACCAGGAGATGCCGGGACTTGTAGCTGGCACTGGCACCCCTCCCTGTCTACTTGTCAGGACGGGGAGCCCATCCGCGCCGCCCTCCACCTGCAACGGGCCAGCCCTCTGCACGAGCCCTGGCGGCGAGGTAAAGGCACGCTCGGCCCTTGCGCGCATGCTCTGCGCATGCTCTGCGCATGCTGCGCTCTTGCGTCCTCGTCCCAGCCCCTTCGGGGAGCCCCAGAGTGCCTGCAGCGGCATTCTGTGTTCGCTTTCCCAGGAAGAGGTGGAAGAGTTCGACGTCACAGCGCGGGAGCTCCAGCCCGGCGAGCCGTTGCAGTGACTGCCCGCAAGCCGGGGACGGTTTGTCAAAGCGGAGGGGACAGGCCTCTGCCTTGTACAAGTCTTGCTGAGCGCCAGTGTACAGGGCTCGGAGCGCGGAGAAAAAACTCATTCGTGCGCGGCTGCGGACCGATTCGCCCCCCCGAAGCGGCCAGCAGGTGCAGAGGCACGGGTGATTGACGTCTGAGCGCCACATAAAGCCCAATAGCTCCATGCTCCGACAATCTCCAATTTTCGGCACGTCTCGTGCCACGCGTTTCGTACAGTTTCACGCCACAGACGACAGAGCCCAAAGCAGCCAGTCCGGTTTACACGAGCTCAGAGGACACTGCGACGGGTCCGGGTAACGTCTTTTTTTGTTGATTTTGGCTGGAGCCGATCAGGCACATACGGTACCGAAGCCCCCCAAAAGCGCCCGTCCTTCTGGAAGGGGCTCTTTTTCAGAGTTCCCGAGTGGCTAGGAGGCACAGTGTGCACAGCGCCTTCCAGAAGACCAGTAGTTCGGAAAGTGCCGTTCCGCCATGGCCATGTCCTCGTTCCTCCTTTGCTTCCTGCCGCTCGTCCTCGCGCTTAAAGATGTTTGGGCCGAAAAGGCCACGGCCGTCGCGGAGGAAGAGGCCTCCTTGCTGGAGATTCGCAGCAAGCGCGCCTTTTTTGCAAGGCTAAGGGGCTAAGGCTAAGGAAGCAAAAGCACCGCTCCGACTTTCAAGCGTGAAGCTCAAGCCGCTCAAGCCCTTTCTCCCATGCGAATCGGATCCCGGAAGCTCTTAAGTGCTCTTGTGCCTTTCAGGTTCAGGCTCTGTGAAAAGGCCGCTGCTCGTGATCCACGCCGGGCTCCACAAGACTGGGACCACGTCGCTACAGCCTCTGGGCTGCAGAGGGAGAGCTGAAAGCTGAGCTCCCCGAAAAAAAGCCCGATTTGTCGAAGGCTTTCCATGAACTCCTGCAGCGCGCCTTGGCCGAGCGAAGGGGGGACAGACCGCGAGACCGCAAAGACGGCTCTCCGTGTCTGTCTCTCTCTCTCTCTCTCTCTCTCTCTCTTGCAGAGAGAGGTTTAAGAGTTCACCTTCGCTCCGCTCTTGCCCTCGCTTCGCGCTCTCCTCTCCTCTTCTCAGGACTGGGCCAGCAGCATGGGCGTGACTTCCTTGGTTTTGGAAGGAGAGAGCTTTTGCGCGAAAGAGGAAAAGAGCTCTTTTGTGCTGATCGCCCATCTGCACAGGACAGCCGAAGAAGGTGAACCACAACTTCCTGGTACACTTCGCCGAGTCGGTGGGCCAAGAGCTGCCCCTCTACAAGGAGACCCTGGAGCTTCGCAACGAGAGCGCCTACCTGAGGACGCAGTCCGCGCAGGGGGCAGAGGGCACACGCGTGTGTTAAGCCCCACAGCAAGGTCGGCGCGACAACACGCACGCACGAACGTACGTGTCGCGGAGAGATCGCGTCGCGCGCTTGGCTTCGGCCGGTGCCGCGAGGACCTGGGAGAAGCTGAGGGACTGCGAGGAGCGGCACTTCGCGGGCTTGGCCCCGTGCAGAGCGCTGCTCTCCTCGGAGCTCTTCACCGAGGCACAGCTCCCGGCCACCTGGCGCAGAGAGAGTCGCACCTTCCTCTCTCCCTCTCTCTCTCTCTTTGAAGTTCAGGCTCTGATCTTTCTGCTTTTAGGCCGCTTCTCCTCGCCACTCCCGCGAGGTCTGGCAGGCCTTGTTCGAGAAGCTGCCGAAGTGGGACGTCCGGGTCCTGGTCTTCCACCGCTACTACCCGGCCTGGCTGCTCTCGCTCTACGGCGAGTACCAGAGGCCCTCAACCACCATATCCACCTTTCCCTCTTGAGCTTCCCGTGCAGGGATTACATGGTGGACACAGCCCACAACCCGATGTCTTTGCTGGAGTTCGCCCCTTGGCAAGGAAAAAAGTCGCTGCACCTTGCACGCAGCTGTAGCAAGTGCACGTCCAGCAAGCGGTCGTGGCACGGACTAGTTCAGCGAGACTCGTTGCAGCGGGTCTCGGCACAGCAACTCTCGCTCCCGGAAACGGTGGACTCCTCGAACGCTCGAACGCTCGCTGTCGCAGCTCCCGCTGAGGCATTGGAGGGCCCTGGTGCTCAGCTCTCACCACGGCGGACGCTCGAACGCATCCAGGACGCGCTCAGCCTCTGCAAGGGCGGCGAGACGGCACAGTGCAGTGTGCAAGGCCAGGGAAGCTGTGCCTTCACACTTCCTGGCCTGTTTTGGCTTTCATCTGCGACCACAGGTGCTTCGTATGATCTCTTCCAGCACCAAGGCACCGTCTGGAACACGCGTCAGCACCAACTGCACCAACTTCTCATCATCGGTTTTTGTTGAGTTTTCTGTAAGGCTACGATCAGTACGAGTACGTCGTCCTCAACGTGACCATGGATCTCCATGGCCAAGAATTTCTTGCAGCGGCACCCTTAGTCGGAGAGACGGTGACAGACGACAGGCAAGAGATTTGCCGGAGGAGGAACGTGAGATAACGCGAGCCCTCTGTCGGAAGGGTGGGCCCTTCCTTGTTTCCTATCGAGGAGCTAGCCAGGTGGATCCACCGTCGGATTTATTCGGATTTCTTGAGACGCTCCACTCGCGTTTCATGTCATTTTGCCTTGTGATGGCTGTGCGCAGTGAGGCCAACCGGAGCCTTTGGCAGACGTGCCCACACCGCAGCTTCATCCATGCCTCGCCGGCAAACCTCACACTGGCCCCGGCCCCGGGCCATTGCGGGCCATTGCGGGCCATTGGGCTTCGACGTGCGTTCTGTCCGGAATCGAACAGGCTGTGGACATCGTCCGCCTGCTGAAAAACTCGCATCAAGCGCGTGGCTGCACCTCTCAGTTCCAGCTCTCGGCCTCGAATCGCGAAGTGCTGGAGCTGGCGAACAAGGAGCCTCTCTCTACTCTCTAGACATCTCTAGACTGTACCTCATAGTGTGCCCTTCCGCAGCGCAAAACGCCTTGAGGATGTCTTGCCCGTTGCCTGCATGGACATTGGAAATCTCCTCGCGGATGACTCCGCCAGGCCGAGGGGGCGGCCCAAACAGAGCGCTTCGAGCTCGCCCGTGGCTTCGCGCAGTGCAATGCTCGCAGTCGGAAGCCTTTCGCTCCAGGTGGTTCGAGAACGCTCATGTCTCGCCGCCGACCTACCACAAGGATTCGCAGTTCTGCCAGATTCAGCAGCAGGCGCTGAAGCCGGAGCACTGGACAGTGCTGCTTGGAGCAGAGAGCAGAGAGCAGAGAGAGGAGAGAGGAGGCTCATCTGCAAAGTGCTTGCATATGAGGGGCCCGTGACTCCGTGTCCAAGGATGCACGCTCTTCTCACGGGCTGCCGTTCGGAGACGTCGGAGGAGACCGAAACCGGAGTTCCCGAAGGCTCCGAAGGCTCCGAGGGCTCCGAGCCGAAGGCGAAAGGCTCCAGCGGGGGCGCGGTTCGCCGAGAGAAGCGCAAGGAGGGCCTTTGGAGCATGAAGTCCGCCAAGTCCGGGGGCGGCATGGGCGGCATGGGCGGCATGAGCGGCATGGGCATGCTCTCCCAAGGGGCTCACTTGACTTTGGAGGCGCCTCAAGATGCTGAGGCTGAGGCTGAGGCTGAGGCTGACCCCGGCCGGAGCTTCTTCGTTCGAAGCCCGCAAGTCCCGGTGCGCTCTGCGCTGGCAGTGGACTTCTCCGAGCGTGGCTCCCGCCTGCCAGCCCTACCGGCCCTACCGACTAAGCGGCTCTTCGGGGATGAAGCTTTCGGCGAGGCTTCTGGGGAGGCTCAGGCTCAGGCTCCCGCCAATAACGAAGAGAGCTTCGCTGGTGGCGCCGCGCCGGTGGGTGGTCTGGGAGGTTTGTTCGGGCTCCCCTTGGAGACCAGCCAGCTGCAGCTCAGCTCCGAGCCGGTGGTGCTCCCGGTGCTCCCGCAGGCCCAGGGCCTCAACGACTACGACTCCCAACACGCCGCTACGGCGCAAGGAGGACGCCGCACCGAAGATGCCGAAGCCAAGAGCGCAGGTACCGGTACTGCCTTTCCCCACAAGGGGAAACAGAAGCAGTTCAAGGAACACAAGGGTCTTGCTCATGGCCAGGGCCATGCGCAGGCCCATGGCGCCCACGGCGGTGCCCACGGCGGCGCCCACGGCGGCGCCCACGCCGGCGCCCACGGCGGCGCCCAGAAGATTCCAGGGAAGGCCTTTGACGACGGCGCCCGCGGCGAAGCGGCTTTTCCAAAAGTGGTTCTTCCTCCCATCTCCAAAGGATCGGGAAGCGCCCCCCCTTCGGAGACGTTGCTGGATCATTTGGAGGGCCTTCCCAGCAAGAAGCCCGGAGTCCCGGGCATGGCAGGAGTCTTCAGCGACGAGCAGGCGCGCCCGATCCTGCGAGCGACGGGCAAAAGCCAGGACCAGGAGTAAGAACTTGCTGAGCAGCTGCTGAGCAGCTGCTGAGCCGCTGAGCTCGTGCTCGGCCGTGCTGCCGAGCGCGGGCTTCGCTTGTTTTGACATCTTTTTGCTTCAGATTCAAGAATGAAGCACTATTCCGACTTCTCGGCTTCGCTCTGTGCTTCTCCAAACGGAGAAGACAAAGTGTTTGAGACAGACGCGGAAGCTTCCAAAACAAGTCCTCGAAGTGGCTGCCAGACCGTATGTGGGCCAGAATCGTTGACATTGAGCTGCAAGGCTCAAGCTTGAAAGCCACGTGGGGGAAGCAGCGCAGGAAGCCGCTGAGCACCCGAGCTTTTGTGGCGTCGGGTCGGCAAAGATGACGGAGATGGACGGGATCATCCGCGAGCATGAGGCAGCTTTGAGTGCAAAGCTGCAGAGCCTGCAGAGCCTGCAGAGCCTGCAGACTTTGCAGAGCCTGCGCATGCTTCGATGATCTTCGATGCCTCGCTCGAGGTGTACTTTGCGACGCTCGCGGAGCAGGCGGAGCGCTACGACGAAATGGCAGAGCACATGCGAGCGGTGATTGCCCCAGGAGTGAAAGCCAAAACGGAGCTGCACTCTGAAATTTCTTCGAAGGCTGCGCTTTTCGAGCAAGAGCTGGATGCAGAGGCATAGAGGGCGTGGAGCACTTTGCGTTTTTTTTTGGTGGTATCCCTGTTACAGTGAGTCGGTGAAGCCTCGTGACTTTGACTCTTAGTAAAGTGCAAAGTTACACTCACCTGCTCTCTCTCTCTCTCTCTCTCTCTCTTCGCTCTCTCCCTCTCTTAGAGGGGGGAGCTGGGCACAGGAGCGGAACCTGCTCGCGGTGGCCTTCAAGCAAGCGGCTCGCGGCCAAGCCTCGACGGAGTGCGCTGCCGACGCCCTGCAGAGTTTGGTGCCCTCAGGTGGGTCAGCGCCGAGTTGCTTGGCGCATCGTTTGTGCAGCCGAGCAAGAGGAACAGGCGGAGACAGCGAGCGCCAGCTCCACGCCCGTCTGCGAGTGCTGCTCTCGTGCCTTCTGCGAGTGCCTTCTGCCTCTCTCGGCTCTCTGCCGCTCTCGGCTGGCGCAGGCCAAGGGCAACCACATGACGACGGCCAGCGCTCGGGGCTACCGGAAGAAGGCGCCGGTGATCCCGGCCCGGGCGGGGGGGGGGGTCTCGTGTTCTTAGGGCCGAGTGCGAGAGGGCTGTCAGCTCGGCGCTCTTCTCTTGGCTGCGCCGATCTCAAAGGTTGCGGTGGCGGTGCCCTGACATCCACTGAAGAGCCGAAGAAGAGCAGCTACTCATCTCCGTGTGGACTCCCTATGCTAATGGTGGCACGGTCGTGCTCGACGATGGACTGTTGATCAGTGCAGAGGCCCTGTGCCGGAATGTAAGCCAATTGTCAGTGCCCACCCTTGCACTGCAGCCATACCAGGGCTTGAGATACCGAGTATCTCCCGCGAGCACGTGCGCCTCGACGCCTCGAGCTCCGCATGCTCCGCTGGACCAGCTCAGTCTGCACCTCTGAGGTCGGAGCCGGTCGCTTGCCTCGACTTGTTTTCTTCCTGCCCTTCCAGTGATGGTACAAGATGCAGCGGGCAACGAGCACGGGCAGGATGTAGGCCAGGCATAGAAGAGAACGGAGAGTTGCTTCGTAGGCCCAAGCCGAAGGCGCAGCTTTGCCAAAACAGGGAAGCCGGGAAGCCCCTCCTCACATCTCCGACTCTCTCCGACTCGTGCCTCGGCACGAGACCCTCGGTGTGGCGGAGCTGGGCTGTGGCATCGGTGGCTCGGTAGCGCCGCGTTGGCTGCTTCCTTGGCTCAGAGGCTTGGGAGCATCCTTTTCTCCCACAACACTCCCGTCTCACCGGCGGACGAAGCCAGTCCCTCGCAAGAAGTCGCTCTTGGTGACAGGCTTCAACTGAGCAACCATGCCCAGTAAGCGCTTCTGTTCTGTCTCAGCACTGCATCTTGCCACCTCCACCAAGTGTCTGCGTTTCTGCACTTGCGCCCCTCGCGGCACTGCTGCCGTGGCTGACGGGCCTTTACTGCCCGGGGTTGGCTCGCATGGCGAAGTGCGCTGCCACCATGCCTATGCCTCTTCGTTCACTTTTGACAAGCATGTGCGTAGTTTACCCATGTCTTCCTCGTGTGTTTCTGTCGTCGGCTCGATGCCCACGGGTCGGTAGACTCTCAATACGCCAACTTTCAGCTGAGAGGGGATTGCATTCTCTGCGATTCTGGGCCCTTTCGAGAGCCTTTGATTGTAAGGCGGTTCCTTCGACGATCGACCACTTGCCTGTTGACATCACATACGGAAGGGACGGGCTGCTGGACGGGCCTCTTTGTCAGCGGATCGGCAATTGTTTGAGGGTCGATCTGATGGTCCCCCGCTGGTTTCCAGCAGCTCGGCCTTGATCACGGCCAGTCGCCGTCCTCTTGTCACTGATCTATAGGCAGTACTCGTAGTGCATCGTACTCTTTTCTTTTGCCAGTGGAGGCGGTGAACCCAAGCCCTTTTGCTTTGCTATGTTCTGTTTCGGAAAAAGGATGTGGCAAATCTTTTTTGTTGCGCACCACCCATAGGGTAGAAAAAATCCCAGACTGCAGATGGGAAAGAGCAAGACCGATGCCATGAACGGGGATTACACTGCTTCTTTGGTGCCACCTTTCTTTTTTATTTTTACCGACGACTCGCAAGCCCAGAGTTCAGGCAAGCAAGTGGATGAAACCGATCATGTCTTTATCGTCCCACCATCGTGTCCACCACTCGGCCACTCACGCTGAAGCACCAGCCAGGAAAGGAATCTCCATCGCTCGGTAGATAGCATTCCGTACAGAAGCCGATGCCAGTGTGAATCGAGCCGATCCCCGACTGAAGTGCCTGGCCTTCGGCCGCCAGGGTGTCCGGAAACTCTTCTAAGCTGCTAAAGTGGCCTGGGCCTCCACGCCGCCGCCTGCTAATGCGCTGTCGTGGTATATAAGACTATCTCAGTTTTTTGCAACTGCAGATTGCGTAATTCCGCACCAAGTCGCTTCACAAAGAACCCGGATCCCTTGATCTCCTCCGTGACCTTGGTTTTAATCCCGGCCTGGTCCTGATTGATGAACATCTCGGTTCGCCTTGAGGCCCAAATTCTTGATTAGGATCAGGTCCTCCTGGGCTGCTCGCGGCTGGAAAAGCCTGTCCTTCTTGGAGCCTTGTGATGTCTGATCCACTCCGTCTCGGTTTCCTCCCAGAAATCTTCCTCGGTGTTCTCGATCCAAAGCTGATCTCGTAAGTTTCCCCATGCCGCATCGGTCACAACCGAGATTGGCATGGCCTGGTCGATGATCTTGTCGTACTCTACGAGGTGGGATATTTTGGCTTCCAGGAAGCATTGTTGCAGCAAGCAAACTCTTCCGGCCAAATCGCAACGGGTCTCCTGGGCCAACCAAGATAATACACCATGCTGGTTTCTAAGTTGCTCCATTAGTTAGCTTCCACCGTACATCGCGATCGCTTTTGCTGCTTCCTCTTCCGGGGAATGGTTATTTGTCGGCCTTCTCCTTGACAGAGAAACCCTGGTCGATAAGGATAGAGTCGTTCCGGCTGTAAGGAGATATCTTTCCCACAGTGAAGCGACCCTTCTCCTGCTGGTTCTTCCCGAGCGTGTACTCCTCCGCGATCTTCTTGATATTGTCCCAATGGCTCTGGGTGCCGCCGTGTAGCATGTCGTCGGTAGCCATGGTTTGATAGAACAGCTCCTTACGTCTCCGGCATAGGTTATACCAAGGTAGGGGCCGTCTGTGAGCCCGCAGCAGGTCTTGAGCAGCATAAGAATCTGGTCCTTGTGCATTCCCGGGGATACCCTGGTGCGGCTGTCGGCAGTAGAGCTCGCGTGCCGGCGTTTCGCCTTGGCCAGCCTGTGCTGGCGATCTAAAAGCCTTCGGACTGGGCCTTGGCGACGTCCGCAAACTCCAACGGTTGTTCACCTCTTTGAGAACAGCTCGATCCAGTCGAGCTCGATCATCGCCCTTGAAGTCCTTTAATCGAGCTTCCTTCTTCCGGCGTTGTGTCGCCAGCGTAGTCAAGTTCATGTGGTACATCTCGCTCTCCAGCGGTTTAGGCAGGGCCACCACGAGTCTTCAGGAAGGCCGACACGACATCGAAGATTCCGACCGACCAGTTGTTGTTGCAAGCCACTGACAATCCAGCTCTCACACGGTCCGAAGGCGCCGACTCCGTGCAAGGATTGCTGCCATTTACCCGAGCATGGTTGCCGCAAGCGACCGGCGCTTTCCTTTCATACCACGGACATAATGGCGATCGCTACCATGCCTTGAGGTTCTGTAGTGCTTCCCTCGGGTCCACCGTATGCGTGACTTCCAATGGTGCCTTTTGGTTCCGGATGATGTCGTCCACATTGGACGTATACACCACTTCGGTCTTGGCAACCTTCCACTTTGACCATTCCTGGTTCCATGTCCAACCACACCTCCCACTCTTCCTCGTCGATCTCATTCTCCGGCTGGGTGTTCAAGGCCCAAGGAGTTTCTGCAAGGTCTTGCGTAAGTCCTCACTATGTCTGGCTCCAGATCCAGGGATCTTGTCATTAGTGCAGGTTCACCTCCAAAAGCTTCCGGAAGTTGAAGTAGAGGTGGAAAAAAACCATGATGTCATCTAGATCCTGAATACCTCCTTGAGTTCACTAACTTTCTCAATCATCGCGGGGCGTAGGCAATCAGCGTTGTACATGATCCTGCCCAATCCAGTACCTTTATCTCTCCTTCACGAAGTTCAGTCCATCGTAGTGTCAGCTAACCACAATGACATTTTTGCCTGGACGCAACCAATATCATATCACCAATTAACGTGAAACCAACCATGAGTGCAATCAGCCTTCGAGAATGTGTGTGCGCGCGTTTCGCTTCTGTCTTCTCCCTCTCAGATCGAAGCGGAGCTCACCAGCCTGTGCCAGACCATTTTGGCCACCTCCCCGAGTACTCGCCACTGCTCTCTTTCGCCTCTCTGGGTTGCTTTCTGGAACGAGGCCTTACTGACCGACAAGTTGATCCCGGGTGCCACGACAGCAGAGGCCAAGGTGCCCCAACCGGTGCCAACAGTGCCAGCTGCACGCGGTAAAAGTGCAGCGGTGCAGCGGCTCTCGGCGCGCGCGGGCTCAGCGCGACGCGAGGTGTCCTACTACAAGGCACAAGGCGACTACTACCGGTGCGCATGGCACTGAACCCGGTGCACGCCTCCCTCGACACTCCAGTACTCTTGAGTGAGGTACATGGCTGAAATCAGCGACGACATGGACCGGACAAGAGCCACCACAGCAGCAAAAGCGGCTTACGAGGCCGAACCAAGGCATAGATCCTTTTCCTTACCACTTGGAGATCTCGTGCCTGCATGGAGGATGGCACAAAGGTGGCTGAGACTTCACTGAAGGTGACCAGCCCCTTTCGCTTAGGCCTCGCGAGGGGCCCAGCCTGCACACGAAGAGAAGCTGATGCGGGCTTATTGCAGGCCTTGTAACATCTCTCAGGCACTGAACCATGCAGTTTTCTACTACGAGGCAAGTTAGACATTTGAGATTCTGTCGGAGTTGCTGCTGCGCCAGGCAAGTTGTTCTCCTTGTGAGTGCCGTACTGTTCATGACTCGGCTGCATATTTGGCTCAAGCTAAGCTGAACCGTCCGGAGCACCCAAGTGCACCACACGGCGCGAGTCTGTCGCATGAGATAATGCGAAGGACGGTTGACAGGAGATTCATCAGAGCACTCCGTCGATGATCCCTGAAATCTGGTCACAGGCCGAGTGCAGACCGCGGGAAAGCAGGAAGAGTGCCGTGAAGTGAAACAGTGTGCACCGACGTTGCAGGGGATGGAAGAAAGAGGTCAGAGGTTGCAAAGTGCAGCATTGCCGAGGTGCCAGGGCCGGCGAAGCAGAGCAGCAACTCTTTGCACTCTTCTGGCCAGGACAGAGACAATAGAGTTGGAGGGCTCCGCTGTCCGCGTCTTTGTGAACTTGGATGTCACATCTCCTGGCCCCCTCAAATCCTTCCTTCGTAAGGCCTCAGCACTTTGTTGAAAGGCATGAGACGACTCTTTCCTTGGTTTTAGTGAGAGACGGCGTTCGGAGGTGGGATCGGTGGCGTTGGTGGCTGTCTTCGCTGTGCGGCGCCGAACCCGCCTGGAGGAAGGGAAGCCTTTCTCCCGGCGGGCACCTGGCACAGAGCTCAGCCCAGCAAAACCTTCACCGCGCCACAGAGTCCCAAGTGTGTTTTCAGAGAAGGCATCTCACGAATGGATGGAGGGAGAGTGTAGGTTGGGTGAGACGGTCCTTTGGGCCGAGGCGCGTCGCTGGCCGATCTTCGAGGCTGGGTTTTGTCCGGGCGGCTTGCCCGCGGGTCACGGCTTTCTTTCCGCCCTCCCTCGCCCCCTGCTGCCCTGCTGAGGCGGGAGAATGCAGCGCGGCGGCCGCAGTGGCTGCTTCCAGTTTCAGACGGAGACGACCTCCGAGGTCGCCGCCGACGCCCTCCTGACGCTCCTTTACTCCAAGCACGCCGGCCCGAGGCGGGGCCGACGCACCCAAGCAAAACCCCAAACCCAAGCCAACAAAAAGAAGCGCAAGCGCTGCAAGTTTGCGATTCGTTCGCTCGCTTCCAGCAGGAACTATTTGATTTCTTCGGCGACAGAACGAGAGAGGCAGCAGTGCTTCCGGGAGCTGCTTTGCCTCGACGAATCCAAGAAGACGATCTGGCTCTCTGGCACCGACTTTGAGCCCCAGAAGCTCTACAAAGCTCCAAAAAGGCAAGCTCGGCCGCCCGCCGCGGAACGCCGCGGTACTGGCACAGCGCCGAATCAGAGGAAAAATGGAGCGAACGGAGACGGGAGATATTTTGCAGTGGCCCCCGCGACTGCAGCGTGTCTTCGCTGCTTTCGCTGGAGGTCATGAACGCTCCAACGGAGGCTGTCCGAATCGGGCGCAAGGCGGGGGTGCAGGAGCATGGCCTCGCTTCGAGGATGCTGTTTCGTCGGCGCATGGCAGGCTTTCGAGGACGCAGTGCGCGAGATCGACAACCTTGGCGAAGACGGCGCCAAGGCCTCCACGCCACTGCTGCCGGCACCTTGCCGAGCTTTCGCTGTCAGGAGTCTGCGCTGGTGATGCAGCTTCTGCGTGACAACATCACCCTTTGGACCGCTGCAGTCGCTGCAGTCGCTGCTGCTCGCTCTGTCTTCAAGCCCTTAAGTCTCAGCTCTGTTTGCTGCCCTGCCAGAGGACCTCGGATCCGAGTGGCTGATGCTTCCGGCTCCGGCGGCGAATTCAGAGCAGCGAGCAAAAGTGCTCAAGAGACGCCAGGGCCAGGGCGGGCGGACCCCGTACAGGGCCGTTTAAAGCGGGGTTAGGCGGATTTCCTTGTGCATTTGGGCTCGAGTCGGTAGCTGACATGGCTCGGGCCGCCGGGCGGAAGGCCGGGGCTGGCCAGTGGAAAGTCAAGGAGGAGGCGCTGGAGCGAGCGCACAGAAACAGCCGTGCACCGTGCGCCCCACGCCCTCTTCACTGCCAGGCAGCTTGGGGTTGGGGCCCCGGTTGGGGCCCCGGCCCCAAGGACGGCCCGGAGAACCCTCAGTTTGCGCCTCAGCCCTCTAACAACGGACAAGCAACGCATCGCATGCAGCGCCCGCCAGGCGGCAGCGTGTGCAGGAGGTGCGCTGTGCGCTCCGCTCCTCCTTGCCTTATGAGGGGATCGTATATTCATAATAACGGAGGATCGATGTGTGGGCCTCATCACCGAATGGCCGGCACCATAGCGCAAGATCTTGAAAAAGCGGCTGTCGGCTGATGTCGCAGCTGGGACGACTGCGACTGAAGCAGGCGTGGCTACATGGGTTGGATCGCGCCGATCGCACCTTTTTCCATTGACCACGATCAGGTCGCCGCCGCAAGAGGGGAAATTCGTAATTCAGAGACTCAGAGCTGAGCCTCGCTCGTCTCGTCTCGTCGAGGCCTCCAAGCACTGGGGTTTGATCTACGTCACCAAGCAAGACCTGCAAGCGGCCAGGGCCCAAGTCCGAGCTTTCTGCGCAGCCCGGGCCCCGGGCGGCGCAATCGGCGCAATCGGCGCAATCGGCCTTCGTGGCAGGTCTTGCCTGGCGGCCACCCATGGATGCGGGCAGGGCGTGTCGTCGACTTTCTCGTCCGCTGCCTAAAAGTCTCGCTGCTCAAACTCTTCTCTCACGTCACTGCAGGTCTACTCAGATGGGGATGGCCTGGGCGCAGAGGATGCCAGAGTGCCCAGCGGGAGTTACACGATGAGCCCAGAAACACTCTATAGGTTCTAGATTCGATCGATTCCAAGCGGCTTGTGGTCGCGCGCGCGTGCGCGAGGGGGCGCGGGCGCGTCGCACATCCAGGAGGGCTGACAAGAAATGGCGAGAGCACTGGGTGACGTGTTGAAGGCCACGGGAAAACGCGTAAAAGCAGCGCATGAGGACCGGCCCAGACCTTGTATAGTGTCGTATTGGAGATTGCAACGCCGCCGACCTGTCGCATGAGGACCCGGCCCGCGGGGGGTGGGAGGCGCAAGGCGGCACGGACTCAGGTGCGGGCACTTTCTCCGCTGCCGCCGCCTTGGTGTGATTGGATTCCGCCTGCAGTTTCTCTTCGGAGCTCCGCGCAGCTTCGCCCCGCTTCACGCCCTCTGCGTCGCACCCTCTGCTTCGCGCTCTGCGAGGCGGGTGACGCTGACCCACGCCGAGGTGCGAGCGCTGCGAGAGCCTCAGCAAACGCGCTCGGCCTGCTCGGCCTTTCCGCAGGCCCGGGCGCTCTTGAAGGGCCGGCCAGAGCGGTCAGAGTGCGCACGGGACCGCTCTGAAGTCGGAGCTCTGCTCTGCTCCGCACATCTCCGCAGATTTCGCAGGTACCTCACAGACTCCGAGCAGTACCCGAATTTGATGCGGGACTTAGGTCGCGTGGGCTCTGCGATTCAATGATTCTGCGGCACACGCTTGTGTGAGAAGGTGTCCTGGTGAGAAAATACTCCTGGCCTCTGCCCTTCGCCACCTCTGCTCGCTTGACAGAGCCGTGCTGCGGCGGGTTGGGGGAGAGGAGACTGTCAGGTTACCCTGGAGCTCTGGGGGCACGTGGAGGAAAGGGAAAGGGCCTATTGATTGGCTTTGGGAAAGCGGGTTTTGTCTGGGCTGGCCAGGATGTGGCAGCAGCGGCTCTGGAGTACTGCAGTTCCGCAGGTCCTGGGCTCACTGGGCTCACTGGGCTTGCGGCAGCAGGGTGCAGCCGGCGCTGTTTGCTTAAATTGCAGGTGGGGCAGAGCACCGGCGGCTGCAACTCCTGCTGCCCGAGGACAAGATTGCTCAGGCGCGCACGAAAATATCAAGAGAGTGGGTGGGCCGCAGACTTCTGACTTCTGCGCCTGCGCCCATGGGTCTGTCGTTGAGGTGGAGGATTTGCCCGGGAACCCGAAGGTCTCCACCCACGCAGTGGTGCAGACGCCCCGGGCTCGGCCCCACATCCGCTCCTCTCCGCTCCCAAGCCCAAAGCCCCATGCAAAGCGGCCTCCCCCCCCCTCCCCTCGCGCCTCGCGGGCCGCGCAGGCCGGTGCCCTGCAGGAGCCCGGCGGCCCAAGCGCGATGTCTCGCGGAGCCGCGCCCCGGCCCGACTTCTCTGAATGCGAGGCCTGGTGATGGAGTCCTCTGCGGAGGACTGTCGCAAGGCAGAGTCCCCACCATCCTGCTTTAGAGGGTTTTCGTATGTCGTGTGAAATTGTGGAAGCAGATTGAAGGCCGTGGTGGCCTTCTTGCGTGCCATGGAGGGAAGGCCCTAGGCGCGAGAGGGAGAAGCCCGCGGCCGGACGAGTGAGCTGTCACCCGACTAGGTCCAGCGAAGAGGCGGACCCATGACCTTTCCGCTTTTCGGGTGCCAGGCCTCGCCAGGCCCACCGCGCTGCGCGCCAAAAGAGCGACTCCCAGGGATTCAGAGATCTGAGAAGTGGGACTGCACTCCGTGCGTGCTTTGATTGCGGCGAGCTTCGTAGCCTTTGGGCCTGTAATATGGAGAATCGACCGTGACAGCTGCTAGAGTCTGCTAGAGTCTGCTAGAGTCTTAGAGCTAGCTAGGTGTTTTCGACTTGTCATTGACACTTTTCTTCAAGAGCCCTTGCCATGGCTTTGGCTTATGATGAGATCGGAGCAGCCGCACCTGGGCAAAGCAAAGCGAGCTAAACTGCGGTTTTTCGTCGGGAGCAAGGGTTGCGAACAACAGTCCTGAGGTACAGAAGCGGATCTCTGGCTATTCAGCCGCCCCCCATAATGCCTCGGCGGGCATCCCGAGTGCCCCAGCGGGCTCTCGCCCGAATGCCGCCGGGTCCGATGGCGACCTCGACCGGAAGTTTCAACTCTTGCGCAGCGTGGGTGAGGAGTGCCGCCCTGCTGCAGCAGTCTCTGCCGGAGTTGAACACTGAGAGCCCAATCAAAGGTCAGACTGAGGCAGAGCTGCGCGAGCTGCTTGCGCCACTGGTTTGGGTTCACACTGTCGTGACACTGTCTGCGCGGCATCTTTTTCTGACATCACCGGCCTGCGTCTTAGGAGAAAGAAAGAGTTCATCCTCTACGATGGATTCGAGCCGTCGGGGCGGATGCACATTGCACAGGGCCTGTTCAAAGCCATTAATGTGAGACGCCTCAGAAATTTGGGATGCGTATCGCACGGCGTAGCGCCGCTGTCGCAGTCTTAGGTGAACAAGTGTACAGAAGCCGGCGGCATTTTCAAGTTTTACGTTGCCGATTGGTTTGGGCTGATGAATGACAAGATGGGGGGAGACCTCAAGAAGATCCAGGCCAGGCCGCTCCGGCCGGAAGCCGATTTCGGATACGGCCTTTCACGATTGAAATCGGATTTCAATAGGGTTCTACAGTAGGATGTCGGATACGATGTAGCAGTGCATGCTTTCAATAGGGTGTAAACATAAATCGCATCTGATCGAACTTCACAGAGGCCGGGAGGTCTGCAGTGGCGGGCGGGGCTCGAAGGACGCAGACACACACGCACGCACACACACACACACACACACACACAAACACACAAACACACACACACACACAACACACACACGCACGCACGCACGCACACACACNNACACACACACACACACTCGTGCAATCCTCCCTCTACTGATTTAGCTTACATGATTTCAGCCTTTCCAGCACAGTTAAGAGGATTTTGGCCTAGCCTCTTGCCATCACCGCTTGCAACCAGCAAAAAACTCGCAGGTACGTGGTTCCAGCGTCCCAGAACCATATCAGCATACTCTGAAGAGCCTCTTTGTTTCTGTAGATGCCCACTCTTCAGGTGTGGGGCATCCCCCTGCTTCAAAAGCTGCTACCTTGGCGAACAGGTGTTACACACACACACACACACACACACACACACCCACCCCGGCTGTGCGGGGTAGCCGATTGGCTTCGTTTTCTCTCTGACCATTGCAATATAAGTTCAGCTGCAGGTTCAAGGCTTTTTAGCAGTGTGAAATAAGGTTGATGAATACTTCGGAGCTGAAGAAAGAAAGCTCGACGAGGTAAATACAATCGACATATCTGCATACAAACAGTTCCGATGCTGCGGTGTCGAAGAACCGAGCTTAGCTCAAGAACTGTGCCCATTCTCTCTGCTCAGATACATGCAAAAACCGGACGTGCCTTGCACCTTTGGCCCAGGGTTTGCCAGGCCAAGCAAACTCACAGTTGGGTCTCTTCTTGAGAGATACCGAGATATGCGGTGGATATTCTCTGTCCTGATAGAGCCGTACCAGGGCTGACAGAGAATCCAAGATTTGTTGCCTGGGTACCGAGTTGAAAAAGCCAACCAGATCGTCATTGACTTCTGGCAGGTGAACAGTGGAGTATGTACTATACAGAAAGTCTTGCATACTTTTCCACAGCTGAGGCGTGGTTGCCAGCCCCAGCCTCAGGCCAAACCAGGCGAATCATAAGGAGGATCGCTTGAGCTGCTGCTTTTAGCAGCTCTTTGATGCAACTGTTGGAGTACGATATTATCGTTCTCCCCTCGAGAAATTCTGGTTCGCTTGTTAGGGCGAAAACCCAGCGCGCTTCTCTTCAAAAAAAACACAATATAGGGATGGTTAAGCTTGGGCAGCCACATCCCTATTAAACAATGCTTAGTAACCCATGCTTCTCGGTACGATGAGCACGGGGTAAGACGAAACAACGTGTAGGTTTGTAAACACTCGTTTGAGACCCAAAACCGGATGGTTAGTTCAGCTTGAGCCTCTCCTCCGGAGGACAGTTTCTTAGCCACAGAGGATCTGTTAGACTCTCTTCGAAAATCTGATTGGCTAGTAGAGCCAATATACATGTAGGTGGAAGGCTGCTGATAGTGTTCAATACTTGAGAAGTGGCGCCAATCCACCGCAACTTTCATGTACACCGCATACTAGGACTGAAATTGTGTCCAGGTGTAGTCCATCGGATGGACTTTGAGGCACCGAAGTTTGGTGCGAATGGTTTCAGCATAAGAGATGTCGAGGAGCCATCTTGAAAGTAGAACAGTAGTAGCAGATGCAGAAGGCCTTGGGCCCAAAGCATAGATTTTTTGTAGAAGCCAAGGCATTCATGCAGAAAAAATGTGACAGCTTCTCCAAGCAGACATATGGCTGCTTTGCTGGCACTTCATTGAAAATGTTTGTAGGGTGCAAGGTCCAAGCTGTCAGAAACCGACCCATGGCACCTTGCTGTTCCCTTCTAACTGCCCTCCTAGGGCCCAAGAACGGGATCCTTTACTGCAGGTACGTTTTCAGCACCATGCTACTAGGCTCTTCGTTGGCGCTCTGGGAAATCCCCTGCGAAACAGCAACTGACATGACTTCTTGGCAACAGTGGTCCACACACACACACACACACGCAAGAAGCCGCAGGGACTATTCTCGTCCGGGTAAGTCTCCGCGGCACCTTGCGCAAAACAGGTGCAGGTTAGCCACACTAGACAAACGGAGAAGGAAAACAAAAGGTTCTGCAGAAGGGCTAGCGGTTGGCCGTGAAGCCTTAAAGCATAATCGAGAAATTGTAACTTTGAAACGACAAATATAGAAAAAGAAAAGGAAAGGGGTGGCCCACGTTGGGCACTTTAAACCCCATTAGAGGACCACGCTTGCAGTTCGCAGGTCTGACAGAATGCCGCAGCCCTGCAATGTATGTCCTATTAGAACGGCCAAGCAACTGCAGTTCGCAGGTCTTACCCAACTGCCGCAGCCCCGCAGTGCTTGCCGACCAACCGCTGAAACAGCCACGGCATTTAGGGACGGTGTCCCGAGTAGTTACTGGGTCCTTGTTGCCAGTCACCGTTGTTCCAACCCGACAACCGCTCTTCCACCAGCTGTTATCTTTGTCCCAGCTGTTGCTGGAATCGCCGGATTGCCACGTGTTCCAAGACGGCATGGCAAGCGAAAGCAGGCACTGCCTCCGAGAATTGTTCCTTGATCTGAACGATGCTGTGGAAAAGCGTCCAGAGGAGAATGAATCTGAGAAAAACTGGGCAAATCTGTAGTAAACAACGAGTAGTCCCGTCTGCAACTAGGCGATCAGGCCTAAGGCTGAAGCATGGTTACTCCGAAGAGCATTTGCTGAAGCGAGACTCTGGGGTCTGGATTTGTGAAAGAGCCGATCAGGGCTGGGACCGATCAAAGTCCTGGACTGTAACTGGGCCGATCAGGGCCATTGCAGTAGGTAACCTTACCGTAGACGACACGATTGACGAAAGCCGTCTAGAAGCACACTCGTGCAATCCTCCCTCTGGACTGATTTAGCTTACATGGTTTCAGTCTTTCCAACACAGAGGAGTAGGACCTTGAGAGGATTTTGGCTTAGCCTCTTGCCATCATCACTTGCAATCAGCAAAAAGCAAAAAACTCGCAGGTACGTGGTTCCAGCGTCCCAGAACCATATCAGCACACTCTGAAGAGCCTCTTTGTTAGATGCCCACTCTTCAGGTGTGGGGCATCCCCCTGCTTCAAAAGCTGCTACCTTGGCAAACAGGTGTTCCACACACACACACACACACACACACACACACGCACACCCGCACGCACACGCACACAGACACAGACACAGACACAGACACAGACACAGACACAGACACAGACACAGACACAGACACAGAGACACAGAGACACAGAGACACAGAGACACAGAGACACAGAGACACAGAGACACAGAGACA